AGGTATGGCCTCCGCCACTCTCTACCTCGCCTAACTCTACTCCCTACTCCTCTACTTAGCGCAGCATAGTGCAGCCTCCAACCAGCAGCGTGTCGCTCAAAATGAGCTACTCGAACTGTTTTTGCCCAGGAGCTGGCCCAGCTATAAGTAGTGCTGGGCCGTGGTGCTGTACCCTCGACCTGCGATCTGGGCCGTGAGATCGTAGGTCCGATCCATGGTCCAGGTCGCAAGGAAAAGTCCTGTCCCTGGGTCTGGCCTAAAAACGGCCTGCCTGGGTCCCTATCGGACGTCCAGGCCTTCCCTGCTGATGCAGCAGGGAGTGTCTGCTACCAGACAAAARCGAACCTGGCCTAAAAGGGCCTGGCCACGAATGGAGGAGRCCAAAAACGTGGCCTTGGTCCGAACAGATCGTAGATCTGTTCGGACGAACTGCAAGTCCGAAACGTCACCTGAAACAGACAAAAATAGAACAGGCAAACAGCAACACACATAAGTAAATAAATAAATAAATAAATAAATGAATGACTGCTGCCTCAAATCTGCACCTACGGCCTGTCCAATGGCCGTGGGCCTCCAGGTCGCGTGCTTGGAACAGGCGCGCGGCCTAGGGGCCCTCAACACCCGTCGGGCCCGAAAATGGACCTGCGTGTCAGGCTCAGCATGTAACAGCTGGTTAGGTCTGTTAATGGGGAAGTTATAGTACTGTAGTTGTTTACAAATGGACGATAGTAGCCCGTCATCCCCAAAAACGACCGGACCTCGGTAACGGTCTGAGATCTGGGCCAATCACGTATACTGGCCACTTTGGCATCGTCTGGCCTCAATCCTTTCACAAAAATCTCATTTCTCCAAGTTTACCTTATATTGGTGCTGTCTTAGGAGACCTAGCACTATTTTCAAGTGCTCAGCGTGCTCCTCTACAATCCTCCTGAAGATCAGGATATCGTCGAGGTACACAACGATAAACTTATCTAACTTTTAAGTAGTCATGAAATATCTGATTCATTGTGTGCGGAAATGTACCAGGAGCATTGCGTAGTCCAAAGGGCATCACCACAAACTCGCACACACCGTACCTGGTCTGAAAAGCGGTTTCGTGTTGATCCTCAGGTCTAATGGCAATTTGATGGTATCCAAACTTCAAATATATCTTAAGTTTGAGAAGTATCGACATCCTTGCACTTTAAGAAACTGCCCAAGGAAATAAAAAAGTAACTTCCAGGAGGTCATCGATACGGGGTAGAGGCTCCGGATTCTTAACTGTGATGGCATTGAGGCCTCTATAGTCAATGCACATCCTTAGGGTCCCCCCTTTCTTCGGGCCAAAGAGAACTTGTGCTCCATAGGGGGACATACTTGGCCGAATCCAGCCCTTCTATGTGAGCTCCCTAAGTTGGCGGTGGAGCTCATCTAACTCCGCAGGAGACATCCTATAGATCCGTCCTTTAGGTACTTTGCTACCGAGGACGATATCTATAGCATGGACCACCTTCCTTTCTACCACACCCCTAGGGCCCTAGGCTCCTAAAAAAAGGGTCTGGATAACTCGCAACGACTGCTTTTATCTCTAGGGGTGTTTTTGCGGACTCCCCTTTCTCAAAGACAAAGACTAGATACATCCCCTCCGCGCGGTTCTTTTTTTTTTTTTTTTTTTTCCCCTCTTTTTTTTTGCTTTCTTTTTTGCCTCTTTCCAATCTAGCTGATTCATAACTACTTTTTTTCCTTCTTTTGGGAACATAGGGCCCTCTGCCCAAGGCTGAACTATAGCACAAGCCGGGAACCGCACCTAACATCCCTCACAACGTGAAGAGGACAAACCTTTTCTTTTTTTGTTACAAGGCCACCTTTGCGGTATGATCCAGGCACTCCGGCCAGGTTCTTACCACAGCTGCAGTTATATTACAGGGGCCGAAAACCAGGTTCGGCATCCCTTACATGCAAGTGAAAAGCGCACAGCATCCCATTGTCCTCCAGGCCCTACCACTAAACAAACCGCCCAAAGCACAACTGTCACCTTGCTGGCAAAACACAGACTATATGTAGAAGAAGCAAAACATGAACCACAGTCCGAAGCAAACCTCCTAGGCTACTATCCCCCCAATTCACACCACCCATTCTTTCCCCGCGCTCTCCATCCCAAAAAAATACGAGAGCGTACAACATCCCATTATTCACCAGGCCCTACTGCTAAACAACCTCCCCCCAAAAGCAAAACTGTCACCTTGCCGGCGAAACATAGACTCTATGTACAAGAAGCAGAACATGAACCACAGTCCAAAACAAACCTCCTAGCCTACTATCCCCCCCGTTCCCATCTTCACCCATTCTTTCCCCACACTCTCCCCTCTATTGACATTATTCGCATTGTTCACACCGCACCAAGGTTCACAAAAAAAAAGGACGAAAAATGGATCTCCGGGTGGCCGTCCGCAGAAACAACTACCGTCAATAAACCCAGAAAATGTTGCCAAGAGTCCCAAGAAAGCAAAAACTTGTTCAGGGCTTTTGCAGAACAGCCCTTCTTCAGAATCTGGACTTTGAAAAAGCCCAGTCCGCCTCAATTGTCTGATTAATGTTATATTCCACCTCAGCCGTCACCATGGGCGGTGTAAGTCTCTCATTGGGACGGATCGCCAAATTGCTGACCATCCTCAATGTCCAGAGTATAGCACCTTGCAGGACCTCTTCCGCCCGCGCCAAGGGCGACAATGAGGTACAGCTCCTAGCCGCCGATCCCACCAAAAGAAAAGCGTACTGCTCGTGGGACCGGAGCATTGGCTCGCCACTATGCCCAAAATGGCCCGGGACAGGTCACAATGCAAGCATAAGTGCTCCAGGTCTTTTCAATGGGTGTTCCCGGACAGATTTGGCAGAGAGGAGTTTGCCTTAACAGTTCTCTTTGCACACCATGACGCTGTAGATACC